TATAATGCACCTAATTCTGAAGTTTGGAATCTTGCTAAAACAATGTCAGATGCATATGAAAAGAAAATATCAACAATGAAATTTTCTAATTAAGTAATTTAATTTGAGTTTTTTTAGTTTAAGATTTTTTCATTAAAAAATAAAATTTCATTTTTTTATTTTACTTTCAAATGAAAAAAGTTTCATATGAATACCAACCAATACAAATTAATTCTTTCTCTATTAGTGGAAATCTTCCTATTGGAACATTAATAATTAGTAATGAAGAAATAATAGAATTAGAAAGACAAGAGAATAGTATTATAAAACAAATTAATATTGAAATAACATTAGAAGAAAGTTGTAATGGTAAAGAAATTTTTTTTGATTTTAAAAATGGAAAAATAGAAACTAAACAAACTGAAAGAAATGAAAAAATACAAATAGAAAAAGGAGTAAAACAAGGAGATATTATAAAAATAAAAAAATTTATTACAACATATTATTTTATGATTGAAATTAAACCATCACCACAATTTGTTATTGAAGGAGACATTGTTTATACTTCAGTATTTACATTAGAAGATAATAATTATTCAATTTTATTACCAAATGGAAATATTAAACAATTACATTTACCACACATAACACAAAATTCTCTTATTATATTAAAAGAATGTGGAATATTTTTAAAAAATAAACAACGTTATGGAGATCTTTATGTAAATTTTTTACAATACAAAAATATGCAAATTTTTAGAACATTAGAAGAGTATAATCTTAATTATTCTTTTAGAACTTCTTTAGAACCTCTTAATAAAACACCCACAACTTTTATTTCTATTCAAAAAAATGAATTATTAACATATCAACCAATTTTAATTTTAAGAGAAATAGAAGATAACAACTCATTTATTATAAAATATAAAAAAGTTTATTTAATACCAAAATACTCACAAATACCTTATTATGTTTGTTTCAAAAATGATGGAAATAAATCAATAAATATGTTACAAGGTGATATTGTCTTTAAAGTTATTCATTAATATTCTTAAATAAAAAGAAACTTCTTAAATAAAAAGTAAAAAAATTCATTTTTTTTTTAAACTTTAGTTGCAGTTAACACTTCAATGTTCATTTCTTTGGTTGAAATTTTCTTCATAAAATTAACAAATTGAGCAAAATGAGTTGTTTTCATATGTGCATCTAACATCTCTTGTGATTCCCATTCTTCAATCATAATGTAATGAGTGGTATTAGTTACTTCATTTACAAATGAATATGAAAGACAACCTGGGTCTTTTCTACTGGCATTAACCATTGTAGTTACTTCAGCAAGTAACTCAGGATCTTCTTTTAAGTACATATGGCAATGAACAATAACAACCATCAACTGAATAACAAGTTCTAATATCCTTTTTTAATCTTATCATTTTAGAACAAAACGAAAAATTTTCTAATAATAAAATAAAATAGAAAAGGAACTTCAATCTTATTTTGTTGACGTTTTTTATTTTATTATTTTTAATTGAAGTTTTATTTCTTTTTCTTGTACTAGCTTCTTCTGATCTATTTCTCTTTAATTAATGTAAAATGTATTCTACGAATTATAAACAAAAAAAAGTAATTTCAAATTATTTATTTTGTTTTAATATTTCGGTCAATCTGGAATTCACAATATTTTGTGCATCTAATACTGCTTGCATCGTTTGCCCAATTGTAATAGGTCCATCAACTTTATTATCCAGAAGTGTTTCACTAGAAGAATTAACTGAATTGCTCAATGTGATTTTAACGAGTGGGTTACTCATAAGTTTGTTAATTATCAAAAACTAGTTTTCAATAGTAAAAGAAATAATAAAGTTTTATCCCGCTTTTAGTCTTATCAAAAGAACTTAAAAATCATTCATGAAATCTAGGTTTGTATGATCATCTTCTCTGTATTAAATCTAAAAAACATAAAGAATTACGAAATTTATGAGTAGACAATCTGTATTTTCTAAGTATGCAACTAGATTTAACATTCTTTTCCCACCTCAGTCATCTAAACAATTAGAACAAAGAATGGAACAAATAACAAATGGGTCTCTTCTTGAACAACAAATATTAGCATCAAAAAAAGATGAAAAGAAAGAGGTTTCTGTTCAAGAAGAAAGTTTTTCTGGAATTCATGAGGAAGAAAATAAACCAGAAACTCAAACGAATTTATGGGAAGGTTTTGCTTTGAGAAATGAAAAGTTATCTGAAAAGGTCTCAGAAGAAAGTAACCCTATTTTAAGAAAACAACCAAAAAGAACTTCTGTTGTTGAACTTATTGGTAGTTCAAAACCTGTTGTTCAAGAAAATACAGATGGGCACAGACTTACTGTTTTTATAAACAAAAAAGATAGTTTTAATGGTGGAGATTCATTTGGAGATGCTCTCATCAATGCACCAATTTCTGTACCTCCAAAAATGTCTATTGGAGATTCTAATGAATTTACTGTTCAAAAAAGAGTTAGGCAAAGTGTTTTTGAAAGGGAAGACAAACCCAAAGATACTACTAAGACAGTAGAGTTAAATGTAAATACTAGTTCTGTTCCTGCATTTTCAAATACATTTGCAGACTTTAAAATTCCATCTCAAGGAGATTTTAATGGGCTTTCATCATTTGGTTCAGAGACAAATCAAAACCAATCAAATCCATTTGCCTCTGGGACTTTTTCTTTTGGTAGTCTAGGACTTCAAGCTGAACCTCCTAAAGAAAAGATTGAAAAAGAAGTAGAAGAGCAACCACAACAAGTTACAAAAGAAGATACACAAAGTGGACCTTTTGAAAATAAGTATTATACTCCACAAAAACGTGAATTTGTTTCATTTGAAAAACCAACGATTCCAACAGAAAAAGAAGTTCCTGCACTTACTGCAAAATTAGAAGATGAAAAAGTGGTTGAAGAAAAAAAGATTGAAGTAACAAAAGATGGATTCAAATTTGATTTTGGAAAGAACGAAACAGCAAAACCTGAAAATACATCAAATGTATTTTCTTTCGGAAATATTGATTTTGGAAAAGGGCTCAATTTTGGTACTTCTTCTAATGTTGAAAAAACAAGTGAAAATGAAAAGGGAAAAAAAGGTAACGACAAGTCAACGGAACAAACTAATACTACTTCTACTCCTTTCACTAATTTCTCTTTTAATGGATTCAATAGCACTGATGAAACCAAGAATAATGAGAAACCAAAAGAAGACAATCAACCAAATAATATTTTTGGAGGATTCTCATTTAACAGTTTAGGAACTACTGACAAGAAAAAAGAAGAAAAGTCTAAAGAAGAAAACTCTTCAACTTCTATCTTTGGAAACTTTTCATTTAATGGTTTTGGAACCACTGAAAAGAAGCAAGATGAACCTTCTAAAGAAGAACAATCTTCAAAAAATTTATTTGCCAACTTTTCATTTGATGGATTAAAAGGTAGTGAAAATAAGGAAGATAAAAAGGTCAAAGAAAACAATTATACAAATACCAGTTTTGGAGGTTTTGTATTTACTGGGTTTGGAAACAATGAAAAACCTAAAGAAGAAACTCAAAATACTACTAGTCCATTTAATAATAGTTCAAGTACAACCAATGCATTTAGTTTTGGAAGTAGTTCTAATTTATGAAACCC